GCACTTGTTACTAGTAGCGATGCACTTGTTCCTAGTAGCTTCTTGTTCCTTCACAAAACAGCAGCCATCTTCACATGTGGGCTGATACACTTGACATGCCTCTTCGCCTTCCCATCTGCAACACACATCTCCCAACGGTGGCGACAATGCCTCTCCCGCCTCCAGATTGCACCAGACTTACCGCCACGAAGATTTTTGCCAACCCAATGCAGTCTATCTCAAACTCCAATTCAACCAACATCCCACCAGACACCAATACCACCAATTTGGCCATACCTACATTGGCTCCACAAGCATCGGCATCGCCAAGCGAGAATTCAACAGGCACGCTAAGCTTAAACAATTGGCCAACAACATCCCATCCCATTTCCGCAGAACTGTCATTGGGATATTGGCACTCTACCAATACTCTCCACCACTACAGCGCCCTCTACCTTTCCCATCACATCAATTATGACGTCGCATGGATCCACGAACACCTTCACATACAAGATTGGCAGCGTACACTCAACTGGCCTTACATTCAAAACCACCTGCTCCTCAAAGCCGATGGCTGGCAATTTACCAAACACCGTACCCGCTTTGCCAGACTGGCCACCCACAAAAGACTCTTTCAAAGGCTACGCAGACACCATCGCACTACTCACCAACCCATCCTTCACACAACACATTGAGAACACGCACTTACCATTACCCGAGAATTGAGCAAGCGCAGCAAGGCCTCCTTCGAAGCAGCCAAGGCCATCCGCAGCGGTCGCTATACAGATATAGAAGTGTATGCGATGCGAAGAATGGCAGCAAGCCTTGAAGAACCAGACAGATCACGCGTCCTTAATTTACTTAACTCCTCCCTAACTTTCCGCAATCTCCTTATTCCCAAAGCGAATCGACACCCAACTATTCCTTTTCTCGCACATCACAGTTTGCACAACACTGAAAAATGGTTCACCTCCCTCACCACACATTTTGATCACGTTATACCGTTCCACCCGCCCACTTGTCATGTCATGTGAATCTCTGGCGACGTGGTTGGTGTGGATGTCGCAAAAGCGTTTGAATTGCAGGAGGCGCACGGACAGAAAGCAGCAAAAGGGCCACAGCTCCACCCCCAAAAACCACTGAGTCCTAAAGTTGACCGACTAAATGTTTCTTTCATCCAGGTGCTTTCTAAGAGCCGGGCTTGCGGAGAGACCAGTGACAAGCAACAGGCACCATGGTTTTTGCCTTGGTCTAAAAGTAAGCCTTTTAGACCCCTCAGCTTTCAAGCATTTGCATGCCGTCGGTGCACCTTTTCTCCGTTAGATGAGTATGAACTGAGCACTTCCAGGTATCTTCGTTCAGATCGATGGCACACAGTGACCATCACATCCGATTGCCAAGATCGAACAGTGCCCCAAGTATGAAGGGACACCAGTATCAATACTCAGCCAACATTCAGTGAACGTGGGAGGTGCTTGTTTTCTTGGATGGGATGCAAGCTACTGAAAAGGAGATCAACATTGGCATGGGCCTTGGGTTTGTAAAACAAACTGCAATCTGACTGTGAAGAGTGCTATTGCCACTTGCTCACAAATTGGGCCTTGCCCCTGGTTGGTTCAGAAGGAACGACCTCAGCCGGCCTTGGTGCTGACGACGCTGGTAGAAGAGTCCAAGGCCACTAGTTCGTTGAGTGCTTGCCCTTGCATCATAGTTTGAGAACTGATGACATGAGTTTTTGAGTGTTTGCCTATGTTTCCCTCCTCAATTCACTTGCCATTGCAACTGCAAAGATGCTGCTCAAGTTGAATCATTGAGCCTTTTAGCGCAATGTCGTCCTACAGCACCGACACCCCCAGGACTGCAACAAACTACCAGAAGATATAAAAACACATCATGATGAAGAAATAGTTCGTCAAGAGAGTGGATGGGGGGAAACGTGTGACATGTGAGGAGAGTGGAAGCGACAGCAATGGAGGGCTCTTCCATAGCTTTGATCGCGTCCGCCTTATCACTTTGAAGGAGCGCACTCCATTGATGAGAGATGCTCTTTGCTTGGCCAAGGTGCCCACTCTTCTGAAGAACATGCCCCTTGGAAGTGAAATCAGCTAAGCCTTGTCGTGTGTCACTCCTTGGCACTGCATAGCCAATGCGTGGCCACTTTTCGCTTAGAAACTATACAGTATCAAAACAGCTTCAAGGTTCAAATCAAACTAGCTACCCTTGTGCCTCTTCGATCTTGTCTTTCTTCTCCCCAAGGATCGGGGCCGGGATATTTAGTCTTCCAGTGGGACTACGGTATGCTACTCCGATTCCGGGACTGATTGTTTTGGGCACCATTGGTCTTCTCAGCGCTAGCTCCTATTGGATGATCGGCTATTGCTGCATCGCTTGTGGTGTTAAGTCATTCCGTGACCTGTGGAACGTTGTGCTTGGCCAAAGATCAGCTTGGATTATCGATGTGACAATCTTTTTGAATGGCTGGATTACTTTGATTTGCTACATCATTTTGATTGGAGACTTCACAACCAAATCTTTTGAAGGTTTGCTGGGCCCGGATCACATCCTGGCCAAGAAGCGTGCTCTATGCCAGACAGTGATTTCAGCATTTGTTTTGCTGCCACTATCCCTGGCAAAAGATCTTCAGCGTTTGGCCTACACATCGATCCTTGGTCTTATAGTGTTGGTCTATGTGCTGTTTGTAGTCATCCAAGACTCCATCTTGAACAGCCCTCCCGAAATCAGTGAAGAAGTGCACCTTTGTGAATGGAATTTTGGTATTTTTGAAGCTATTGCGCTCTACTGTCATGCTTTTGTGGCACACTACAATGCACCGAAGATCTTTTCAGAGCTCGCAAACCCGACCCTTATCCGCTGGACACAGTTGGTGGGAATTGCCTATTCTGTTGCCTTTGTGGTGTATGCAGAGTTTGCCTGGGCTGGATTTCGTCGCTTCCAACTGTCGGTGGAAGGCAATGTTCTGAAGAACTATGGCCCACAGCTTAACATTCTCATCGCATGGCTGGGAATGGGCTTTTCAATTGCATTTACATATCCGCTTGTCTTCAACTCAGCTCGTGAGGCTGCCATCAACTTGACTCTCATTGCGAGGCAAACGCTGTCGTCCATTGACTCGCCCAGGTTTCGGCAGCTGCAAGATGGCTACTATGGGAGTTCATGGCAGCACCGCTCAGAACAGCTGATACGGCTACTAGGTCCCAGTCCGGATTCCCCCAACCACAAGCTCTCTCAGAAGCCTGGGACAAAAACTACGTTCCTTCTCGTCCTCCTCACCTATGTAGTTGCGGTGAGATGCGATGATGTGGGAATAGCAAATGCTCTTGCTGGATCAGTAATGGGCTGCAGCCTAGTTTGAGTTTACTTCCTTTTGTTTGCAACCTCGTTTGTTCCACAGAGCAGTTGCTTCACTTCCTTTCCGCCCGTGAATCGCAGCACAGGTATGGTTTGCCTGGTCCTTCCTGGCCTTTTGTTCTTCAATGTGGCACGGATGCAGCAGAGAGCTCAGCAAGCCCGAGGTTTGCAGAAGCCGCTCTTGACAAAAGGACTGCAAACGCCAATTCTAAGGGTAGGTTTCAAAGACTTGATATTGACAGATACTGTGTTAGCCTGGCCCAAATAATATTGAACTACATTGTCGCTGTGTTAAGGCAACCTTTCGAAATTGCGTGGTATCATGGTGTTCTTTCTCTCAAGCACACCCGCTCTCATTAGGTTTCCAAGAGCCACCTCGGGAAGGGTTCCAGGTAGTGTTCTGGGGGAAGTTCTGGGAGATTTTCAGTCACATGCAGGGCGTGTTGGGTAGCCTGATGTTGCATGATTGGCCTTTCGTCCTATAATTCCACAACAGGACCGAATTAGTCAAACACTACAAAAGTACACAACCACATCGTGTAGTGCACCACCATTCATTCCATCCTGATTTTGCCATTCCAGTCGATGGTGCAAACGCCGTTAATTTTCTGATTTGCCGGTGGTCTTGGTTAAATGGAAATTCAGTCGCGGCCTCCGCGATGCATACAATTCTCATAAAAATCATAAAATCTTATATAATGAAGTTCAAATTCCACATGAGTAAAAGAAGTGGCCTCCCCGTAAGACCGATGGCCTCCAACCTACTAGCGATGGCCTCCAACCAAATAGCGATGGCCTCCAACCTACTAGGGACGGCCTCCAGCCTACTGGCGATGGCCTCCAACCCAATAGGAAGATGTTTGCCACTCGCCAAGATGCCAATTTCATTGCTGTTGCGTCGAGTGTGACTCTTGAGTGTTTGTTTTTCGGTTCTTTGGGCAGGTCATCGCAGTGGGCCCGCAGAAACCCATCTATGTCTCAACATGTAAATTTTCCTTCTTCGTCATTCCTCCACCATCCATTGACTCATGATGATTTGTGGTTGGACCAAATCCACGAGAAAGAAGAGCAGCGTTATGCCCAACACTTGCTTAAAGTGCATTATCACTTATCACCTTCACTACCGCAGCAATAGACAAGGGCCCGTCCTTTAAATGTCTTTGCTGCCCGCAGGATTTTTGCTAGTCAGAGTCAGATGTTTTTCAACTCGATAACAGGTATGTTTTAGCTGGGTGCTTGCTCTCTTATGCATTTATGGTTCACATTTCAAATATGGACTAGTGGATCACAACTCATCTCAATAGCGTCACGAAGGATGTCTTTCGCATCGCGAGCGAGGATCCTCAGGTGCAGCTTTGCCGATGAGGCCAATTCTAGCTCAGTTTGCTGGGATCGTGATCTTCATCTCCGGGACGATTTTCACCATCGTCGGCACAGTTCCTTGGAGAAGCCGCAAACAGTTTATGCGAGCTTTTTGGTTCGGGTCCCCTTGATGTCCTTGCAGCCCCGTTCTTAACTGTTTAAAGGTATTTGGCTTATATAGAGCATTCAGCATTAGCTTTGGATGATGTGAATCGCCGTGATGCAGTGTTACATGCTTCCAATACTTCATGCAAAGGAAGTTTTGAGGAGAAAGTTCCGAGTTACAAATTGCAAAAAACTGCGTGCGCATGGTCGTGTCAGCGGGCAAAGCGGTAGTCTGGTAAGGCAACGGTTGTGGGGATTACTTTTGCTTCGTTTCGTTCGGGACTGTCAGGGCTGCGCGAAGGTGTTTGGGAGGTGGTTTGCCGTGCCCTGACTGGTCGGTTTTAAATCAGATGACTCAGAACGCACTCCAGGAGCTGCAGAAGGTTGGCGGGTTGTTATTTGGTTGCGCGGGACACTTTGTCTGCAGCTGCTTCCTTGTCTCCACTTGTCTGATTACGCGTCCCCCACTTGTCGGCTTCTGTGATCGACACTTTGTCTGCCCATGCTGCCTTGTGTCCCCAGTTGTTTGCCTCTGTCTGCCGCTGCTGCCTTATCTCCCCACTTGTCCCTCACATGTCTCCCCACTTGTCTTCCTCTGTGATAGGTGCTTTGTCTGAAGCGTCCGGTCCAAGCTGAGCTCTATGCCATGCTGCCCTCCATGACATGGCTGTGGTGCTTGCCTGGCTGTGCGCGCTGGTGGGCACCTGGATCTTCATGCTGGCTTTGGAGATCTATTTGGGAGCGAAGGTAGAGTGATGACAATGCATCACGGGGCATGTTTTCGCTAGGCCTTACTTGTTCTATCCTTGAAGCACATCGTACTGGGCATGTAGATTCCCAAGGCCGTCCAGTGAAGCGCTCCTTTGCAAGGGCTATGAAAGTGGATTTTGTGTCTACCGTGGTCACGTCCATGTGCGCAAGCTTCCATGGTCACGGCTGCTGATGTCACCTGAACACAGCCTCTTTCGAGCATCAAGAAAGCCAAGGGACCGGACTAGCTGCGTAACGTGGAACCGTGGTGGCCTCTCCACAGAATCCTATCATGAGTTCATGTATTGGCTCTTGCTCCAACAAGTTGATGTTTGCTGAACTCGTGGTCAGTAGTGGAACCATAAGAAGATTGTGGGTTTTTGCTTTTTCCTGCTCCAACAGGCTGGCTCACATGATGGTCTTCTTACCATCATTCGTATGCAGTTCTGCCCTTCTGATGCTGTCTGCCACGCCATCGTTCAAGCAGGCAGGCTGCCACACACCTTCGTTGCCATTTAGCTAATACCTCATCAACTGCTATCAACGCCCCCCTACCGCGTCAGAGCTCGTCAAGTGTGCGCAATCTTATATGGCCCCTCACTTAGCATGCTTTCCTCTCTTTTCGTATATCCCCCGGAGGGGCCGGAGGGGTGTGTTGGAAGCGCTGCTTTGCATTTGATCAGTGCCATCAGGTCCGAACAGCATGCGTGAACGCCAAACCTTCACACTGACAGAAACAGGCAGGGTGACTTCGACCCAGGTTAGCAGGTGGCCTCCTTTTTTCACTTGATCTCGCTCAAGCTATTGACAGGTTGCTGAGATCCGACTTGTTTGAGGGCTTGATGACATGTGGCTGCCCTGAGCCCCTTGCCCTTTGCTAGCTAATTGGCTCCGTGATCAATACTGAACCAACAGGCTTGATCTGTCAGACCAAAGCAACTTGTGGTGTTCGACAGGGTTGCCGTGATAGTCCTCTTGAATGGAATGTTTTCACGTCTGTCATTCTTTGAGCCCTGTGTGTTGCTTTTGGTATGACTTGTTGCCAGCTGATCCAAAAGCTTTGCTGACGACCCCCTCCTTCGTTGGAATTTTTTTTGACTATAGCAGATGTTGACACTGCATTAACTGAGATCGGCCGGACGCTCGACGTTCTTGAGCAACGCCAGTTGCGTCCCAAGAAAACAGTCGCTCTACTTCGTCTTGTGGGCTCACAGGCAAACAAGATCACCAGTCTAGTCAAAACTAAAGAAGGCTGCGCATCAGAACTCCACGCGCCAAGGGTGGCAGTTTGCTTCCTGTTGTCACACGCGTACTTGGGTTGCAAGCTTCCGTATTACAATTTCGAAAAGATGACATTGACGCGTCGATTGCGCGTTGATCGTGCTGCCTTTCAGCGATTGCGCCTGTGGCTCGTGAAGCGCCGCTTGATCTGACAAACAGCGAGAGCCCAAGTGTGGAGGACTTGTGTCTTGAGCTCACGCCTCCACGGTCTGTCTGCCGCTGGCCTTGCTCAGGCTCAGGAGGGATTGCGTAAATAGGGTTTCGACGCAACGCTGAACTTAGGCTAATTGGTAGATCGCTTGGACATATCACGCATGAACGCGATGCCGATCTCTTTCGTAGGCTTGGTACTTGTGAGCCCCTGCAATATGTTCAGGAGCAGTGGCAACAAACATTTGACCGCCTTCATAGCAATCAAGCACTCCTCAGACACCGACGCTCTTAGAGCCGCTTGACACGGTGCGAGCCAGAGTCATGTCTGTCTTTGAACATGTGAAGGAACAGCTCCCCTTGTGGGAGCTACCATGTCCGTATTGCTCTCAGGTTTTTGAAAGCGTGTCCTTACTCAACAAAAATTTGGTTGTCACACGCAAAGTCACCAGAGCCCATCACCCCTTCAATGCTGCCACTGCCAATTCAAGTTCTATGAATGGCGAGGCCTGAGACATCGCATCTCTGCTGGCTGTCAAATGTTTGATCCAGATCTGCCACAGCAGGTACCGCCAGCTGACGGAGAAACTTTTTCGTGAACATGCCAGAGCAGACGCTTTTAATTGCTCTTATTGAGGAACCTGAGCTCGTCCAGATTTTGAGAGAGAACTGTGTGCTTTGTGGACGTTACTTTTTCATAGGGAACATGGCTTGATCTGATGACTTTAGCCAAGAACTCTGCGACTGACACCATCCTGACCAAGCCCACCTTTGTCCAAGCACTTCGATCCGCTTGCGTGCTGCGTGGGAGGCATTGCAAGAAGCCTGGAGGTATCATCCAACACCATCTTCAAGATCATGCCGCCGTTGTGCAAGAAACAAGTGATCGTAGCAGTCACTTGCAAAACCAGGCCATTGCAGCGGGGAGACCTTGCTTTTGTGGAAATCACACTGTCCGCAAAGGACACCAATGTGTGGTCTTCATGTAGATTGCAATGCTTCAAGTCGTTGCTAACAAAGATGAGGATCCCCATGAAGTTGAAGCATCCAAACCATCATCAAGTCCGGCTTCTAATGCGTGTCTTGCCGCTGGTCTCCCAGTTGCCTGTGTGATCGGCGTTTTGTTTGCTGCCGCCGCCTTACTTGTCTCGCCAGCTGTTTCGTTACGTGTCTCGCAGTACTTCTCTCCTGGCTCCTGTCCTGCTTTCCCCCTCGTCTGCTTCTGTGATCTGCGTCTCAACAAAGAGTTGGGCTTTCAGAGTCCTGCCGTGTCGTCGTGTTCAGAGCCAGAAGCAGGTCAGACGACGGGTTTATGGAGTCGCGCAGTACAATGGTGATGGATTTCGTGGCAGTCGGGCATCTGAGGGGGGTGGGTGGGAAGGGGCCAGGGCAAATGTGATCTCAAGAGAATCAAAAAAGCTTCTGCGATCTGGTTGCGCTGTGGCGGTGGTATTTGTGGGAGTGGCTAGCGGTTGCAGCTGGTTTGGTGAAGCTGTGGTCAATCCGTGGTTGCGCTGCAAACCTCTCTGAAAAAGTGGGGCGCATACCCACTCAGATGTTGCGTTGTTGTTGTCATGGCTGTTGCCTGTTACAGAGCAGGGGGGGTTGTCTGTACCGTTTGTTTTCGCGGCAGGGAGCCTTTTGATTCGGAAATTGTTGTCAATCATGAATCATGATGTTATGTTGTTCCGTTCATTCATACCATTCTGTCGCGTGACACCTTTCTTATTCCCTTTTCTTCTCTTCTATTCTTTTCTGTTTCCTTGTGCTACTTTTGCTCCTTTTCCTCGCCTTCTGGCTCCTTTTGTCCCCGCCCATGCAAAAGCTGTACAAGATAACGCCGCAGCCTGGCTACAAATAAACGCTATGGCGCTCTATTTTCCTTGTTTTCACGTCGCTTCTCTTTTTGCGACGCAGATTAGAAAGCTTCTTCGCAGCAGGAAACACCAATCAGGCAACCAGAATTGATATTCCTGTGCCAATCCAGCGCCGTAGAGTAGTAACAACAAACGTCCGTGGCAACAGAACACGCCCCGCGGAAAGCGGCAGCCAAAACGCACCAAGATTGCCAGAGAGAAAGCCGCCCAACAGGGTGTGCGCGGGCGGCTAGGGCAAACAGGTGATTCTTGTTGTTGTTGTGGTGGCGGCGGTGGTTGTTGTTGGAACAGGAAGGGGACACGCGAAAAGGACACGCCAATAATGCAAGGCAGGCGTAACTCGCACCTTGCGGCCATCTTCAGCAATCTTGAAGGAAGGGGGGCACCCTTACAAACATGTTACGAAAAGGTTGAATCTTTGAACGACATCATGTTTTGCAAAAAATCGGAAACAGACACTGTTTTGTTGATCTTTTCGGCGCGTGCGCTTGTGCGCAAGAGCCGAATGGTATTTGTGAGGTTTTTGGCCTCTCCGTTTTACATCAAAACCCTTCTTCCCAGTGGCCCTGCGGGATTGCCCCGGTTCGTCTACACATGGCCTTCGGCGGCAGGGTGCTGCGGACACTTTTTTGCCTGATACGGACTTGCTGCAAGTACAAACGTCGCAATTCACCAGATCGCCGGGAGCCACATTGCACTTCACAAGTCATCACATCAACTTCATCACCATGCAGCCCTTCTGCAACCCACACTTCGTCGCACACGTGCCACAAAAGGAGGCAAATTTTCAATAGTTTATATATACATTGAACTTTGGGTCTGCCGGGAATGGGATGCGGAGCAGCCTCACCTTTTCTGGAATGCAACGAAGGCAGTCATTTTGATGCACCATCTGAGCTAACGCCTTCAAAAGAAGCTTTGGTGCCACAAGGCTCACAAAGGTGGTTTTAGGCACAATGTGGTCCCTTTTGTGGTGACCCGAGAAGGGATTCTTAAAGTTTCTCTCGTTTGTGCAAAGTTCATCTCAGCGGAACCTTAGCTTTGCAGCGTGCCAAAAAACACGGATGCCGTGTTGCGTGTTGAGTGTCTTCGATTTGGCTTCGACTTTCGACATGGCAGCAGAAACTCTGCGCTCCACTCGCCTATATATAGTCATTATTGAGCTGAGTTGGTTCTTTAACGATTTTGAGGGGTGCAGGACAAGCAATCCTTGCTTGTCAATCCAGTTGCCACCCGAAAGGTCCAGTCAGTCCACTAGAAATGCTGGCGACAAGTGGGCTTCTAACAGTTTCTCCTTATGCGGTCCCTCAGGCGCGCATGCGTTGAGTTGCGGGATTCAATACTTTATTGTCACTTTGAACGGATTTGAATGGAGAGATGCAGAGACGATTTTGTGCAAGTTTGCCCGCAACTTTGGCAGGAATTTCCTTGGGATTCAATGTGCTGAATGCCTCCCGAAAAATCCAACTCAGTGACCCTACAGCTGAGGCTGGTTTCCTCCTTTTCGCGAGCAGTAGCGCTCGTGGCATGCCTGGTGGAATCATGTTGCGGGTGTCTTAAGAGCTTGGCGACCAGAAAAGGATCATACATCGGACAGTTCACCAGGTACTATGTTTGACATACTGTGGTTGAACAAGGCGACGCATTACCTTCTACAACACGATGCTTGGAAGTCAGCAGGTGGAGGCCGTGGCAGACTGCACAGTTTCATAATACTGTTTCTCTTCAAATGCATTGTAGGATTAAGTGATGTGAACATCGTTTGATTATTGTGTTAATTTTTTTCAACGTAAACATAGAAGACTCCAGGAACAGTATCTGAATTCCCGCTACCAGAGAGAGAAGAAACCACCGCCGCAGCAGCTTGCCCTGAGTCTGAATCTCGAAAGTCAGTCAGTTCTGCTTGCTGAAGAATATTGGCAACCTGGGTTTGCGCAGCAAAGCATAAGTATTCACTATCAAAACAATCAGATTGTAAGTAGTCAGGTCCTGCAATGAAGAAGTCAGATTCTCAGACACATGGCGCAGCAGAGAAGCCTCAGCTTGATACTCCCACGCCAGGTCTGCGCCATATCTTTGGATTCACGGCTCCTTTCTGTGTGAATTTGCAGACTGTTTCATCTCTAGTGGATGTCTCAGACTTCACAGACTGAATGTTCTTCTATTCCGCCTTAAGAAGGATGCCAGGACATGTTGCTGACGTGTCACGACCAATGTCATTCTCCTAAAATGGGTTGTTCCCAAGTGCTGTGAACTTTATTGGTCGGTATAGGCTGGTCAAAGTACTGCTATCCGTCTTTGCTGCAAGTGAGCTCCCTCTCCTTCCGTCGCTGTCTTGATCTAGGCTACGGACAAGTTATTATGCCAACTGTTTGGGGCGTGTTGTCCTGCAACAGTTAACGTACAAGTACAAGCATCTCAAAAGGTCCACGTCGAGTCTGGCAGCTCAAAGCCACTAACTTCGGGGTTCACCTTATATAGCCTTGAGCCAATAGCCTCGAGGAACCTGTGACCCAAGGGCACATTGCTCATGGAAATGGGAACCGTCAAAGTGCAAATCTCGATGGGCGATATAAATATGGTACACATGTACATCCACTTTCCTCCACAGCCCGGAACTTGGGAAGGTTGTAAGGCCCTACTAGCAGACAAAGCTTCTGGAACACCCGAGGTTCGAAGTCTATTGTCAACCTTGTTTGCCGCTTTTTGTTGTTTTCTCCTACTTTGTTTTGTGAATATCGTTCTTGGAAGCTGGAAGCATGCCAGCGAAACTTGCTCTCTCATTATTTCAAGGGTTGTTTTCATACCATTTTGGACCTTGCTTCTTTTGCCTCCTTTGCCTTCGCCTGACTTGAGCCATGTTAGTGTATGCAGTCATGTAGATCCGCTGCAAGGTGCAGGTGGCGATTTGGTTCATTTGCTTCGCTCCTTTGTCATCGGTCTGGAAGGTGCCTGCAAGAGTGTCGGCAACGACCTTACGCCTTTCTTGGCATATCTATTTTTTGTGCCATGACTGAAGAAAACCGAGGCGATGGGCCTTCTGGTGGGGCCCCACTCTGGCTGAGTCCTCAAAAATCATTTGAAATGGGAGAATGTATAAACGGTGAATGTGGTCTTCACGTCACAAGGTCGCCTCAGCAACAGACAGTTCTGCACGACATTGTGGAACTATTTCAGAGGCCAGGTCAATTCTCTATCTAGACCAAAGGCAATGTTGCTTGGCCGTGACACAGTTTGACCGGTGTCTTGGAGATCAGTTCTCAAAAGTGCCACCAGGTCCGAACCGCTCTTCAAGAAGTGGCAGCCACTCTGGACAGCAGAGGAGAGCTTGTGCATCGCGGACATGTTTGGCCGACTGAGATCAGATTTGCAAACGAAATCAGCCCAGAACAGTTTGCAGTAGTCATGACAGCAAAAAGAAAGAGAGGGCACCGTTGTCAGGGGTATACAATTGCAGGATTGGTTATAGTCAGTTGATCCTGCTGCGCGTTTCCTTTGACGTCCAGGCGTCAGATATTAAAAACATATATATATATATATGCTGTATATCACGAAAGCCAGCCGGTAGGCTAGGCTGAAGTTGGGTTGGGCGAACGAAGTGAGTAAAGGGGGTGTGGGGGAGGGTGGTTGCACACGGGCAAATTTACACCAAAGCCTGGTAGGGGAGAGCGAAGAAAAGAGGCGGCCAGGAGGTAGTGAAAATGATTGTTTTTTAGTGTGTTGTGATGCAAGTGATGCAGTGGATAGCGATCAGCGTCATTAGCATCATGAGTGATCAGGAGGCAATGTAAACCGTCTTCTACCAGGGTTGGGAGTTCATGTCGATGACAGGAAAGAGGGAGAAAAGTGATTGGAACTTCTCCAGCAAAGGGAGATGCGCGTCTCTGGTGGCCATTGTTATTGTGTTCGACCAGGGGTGAAAGGGCGGTGTGTGTCTCTTAAGACACGGTGTGATCTTTGAGGGCAGGAGAGGGAACAGAATGCCGTGAGGAAGGTGAGCGGAGGAGGACGTGGTAGGAAAAGAGGGCTTGCAAGAAATCTTGGGGTTGCTTGGGGGTGCGCTTTTTTGATGGTGAGGACGCCTGTCAACCATACGCAAAGGGCACCCCATATGGGGTGCAAGTTCATGTAATTGTAATGATGCGGTCCGTTGAGGGCAGGAGAGAGTGCAGAGGGCAAGCTTTGAATTGCTTGGAAGAGGCGTGGTAGCCAGACTCAAAAGGGCACCCCGCATGGGGTGGGAGTTCATGTGGATGAGACAGGCGTAGCGGAGGAGGACATGATAGGAAAAAAGGGATGACAAGAAACGATGTGACCCATTGAGAACACGGAGGGGCAGAATGCAGCGGGCAAGGGTGCCCTTTTTTAACGGTGAAGAGGCCTAGTGGCCAGACTCAAAAGCACGCCGCACATGAGCTTTATGTTCATGTGGATGAGACAGGCGTAGCGGAGGAGGACGTGATAGGGAAAAGAGGGATTGCAAGAAACGATGTGACCCATTCAGAACAGGGACGGAACAGAATGCAGCGGGCACCTTTGAGTTGCTTGGGGGTGCCCCTTTTTATGGTGAAGAGGCCTGTTGACCAGACGCAAAAGGGCACCCCATATGGAGTGGGAGTTCATGTGCAGAGCGGGGGAGGATGTGAGTGAGGGATCTCGCATTCATCTCCCATGACCATATTGATATCTTTTACGGTGGCTGGCTTTCGCCCCCTCCCTTCTCAGGTATATATACATATATATATATATGTATGTGTTTCTGGCAGTTGTCTATCAATTTAACTTTTCCTCACGAAACAAGTTCTTAAAGGCATCAAGTCGAGACCTGCCAAAAAGACAGCTTGGGGAAGGAAAACAGTTCAGCAAGGCAGGTTTCTTTGAACGATGACAACTGCTTTACAGGAGAACACTTCTGCCAAAACAGGGGAGTTGTCAGATGGAAGAGACTTGAACGACAGAGGAAACTTATTGACAAGATGGGAAACTTGTATGACGAAGTAGGCTTTATCAAGGAGGATAAGTTCTTATGAAGGGGAAGGAAATGAGGGGAAAGGCTTTTCAAGGACACGAAGTGACCAGATATTTTTGCCCGTTTTGAACGACTTGCGTCGAATAGGAAGTTTGGGACAGCAAAGAGTTTTGGGGAACATTGTGAGACTTGGATCACCTGATCACCAGGTTAGTATCATACAGGAGGAAACTGTTGCAAGCAAAGAGTTTTAAAGAGGAGGCTGGAGGCTCTTCCATTTTGCAAACGGGGATGAAATTGCGAAGGATCAGTTGCCCAAGCAAGTATCAAGTGAAAGAATAACATTTTCATAAAGGGTAGTATTTCTTGACAAGGGATTGGCGCTATTTTTGGATCGAGCTGGGGGTTGTTGAAGTGGACACGGAATCAGATGTATCAATACCTCAGGTTCGACGAAACAAAGTAACCGGAAACGCCAAATGTTTTCCACAGTAGCCTGAAGAACCAAAGTAGATGGGATAATTGGAACGTGCTTGGAACTTGTGGAAAGCAGACTATACCTTAATACATTTCATTAGCCAAAGTGCCTTGACATTTTGGCTCAAGTCCGCGTTTCAAGTGAAAAACTTGCTCGCCTTCGCTCTCCTACCCATTTCTGTGATTGCCATGGCATCAGCCGGCAGCTCAGGAGAGTTCTTTGATTGGAAGATCCTGGATGGTGCGGAGACGGTGCGGAAGTGAACGAGGGCCTTAAACATGTTCAACAAATGTGTTCAAAGATGTGGGATGAAGGGTCCAGAGTCTTTGGGATGGAGGGTTCAATGACTTATGGACGAAAAGAGCTTCAACAAATTCCAGGACTTGGGATGAAGAGTCAAATACTTGGGATGAAGGGTTCAAATTCTTCGGGATGAAGAAGGATTGAACAACTTTGTTCCAAGGCTTGGGATGAAGGGTTCAAAGTCGTTGGGATGAGGGGTTCAAAAGACTCAGTCGCCAGTGGCACTGAAGACCGGAAGCAGTGCGATGTGGTTATGGCGCCCACTGCCTCGGCGGCGGCAGCGGCGGCCTCTACATCCTCGCCTCCCCTCCAGCAGGTCTAGGGCTACATCCCGGTGGACGAGGCGACTCCGGCACCTCCATTATGGAGACGTCCGCAGCAGCCCAGGCACCCTCAGATGTCCTGGCAGTGACGCGGAGACGGTCGTTTTTGGAATGGAGACGACGAGGGCGTTGGGAGAGGACTGGGGCACGTGCAAGATCCTGCAGCCAGGCTGACGGTGAACGATATGGAGTCGAGATCTATGTTGCCAAAACAAGTTCGAGCCCGAGAACATAGGCTTCATCAAGCACCACAACACCCGGGAGATTCTGAACCGTGGGCAAAACCCATTCCGCCTGCAGCCGCGGAGCTGCGCGCCGCTTCTGCACTTTGTCACCTACCTCTGAAAAGTTTTTCCTTTCTGTGCGACGCCCATGGACCCGCTCTCAGGATGGCCGGTGACCGATTTCTCCTTGGGTTTCACACAGGGCTAGGTTGGGTGGCGTTTCAGGGTACCATCCCAGTCCTGCTTTCTTCTCAACCTAAAAGAAATCTATCCAGCAAGCAAAAGACTGCGAGTGCGCGCTTTGCTTTTGGTTTTTGGACTTGACCTTCAAGGAAACTAGTTGAATTTCAGAATTTTTATGTTTGGGCCAATATTGCTTTGTCGCTTGGAGATATAATTTAGAGTGGTTTTGGTGGAGTTCACCGATGGACGGTGAAAAATCTTGGGACATACCAGCATCTTCTTCGGTATTCCACAACTTTTCCACTACTGGCAACCCTTCTTTTGGAACAAGAACGGTTCCAGCGTCAAAATAAAACTTTAATAGTGAGATGCGGGTCAAGAATCTCCGACCCTGGCTTGGCTATATAAGCAAACCATCAGCTTACAAAAAATGCAGGACCATGCAGTGCCTTCCTTGGCAGCATCATATGTGCGGCGTCTTCAGACAGTGCGACAAAATCTCCGCTGGAGCCTCTGATTTTGACAATGTTTTCAAAAGGTGCTCCCTTCCATCCCGAACTGTTGATTGTGCAAGCAACCTGCGAGCAATCGTGTTTTCCCTTGTATTCCTGGAGCCTTGAACAGAGGCAATCAAGGCGGACGTTGCAGCCTTATTCTCGCGGCTCGTAGCCGTCTGAGTCCGTTGGAGATCCACGTGCATTGAGGTTTGCTCATACCCCTTGGCATCAAGACGTTGGACATTGGCTCCCAGCCTTGTTCTTATGGGTGTCTTTAGTTGTCAGTTCAGCACTCCATAGAAGCTTTTGTCCGAGGATGATCATGCTCATTTTGGAGAAACAAGATGGACAGGCGATTCCTGCAGTCCGGCATTCTACATGACAAAGCCCTGTCAAGGTTTTTGGATTCTTCTCATTGCAGCACATGTGTGACATCATGTGTGAGTCTGTGTGACAATGTTTGGTTTGGTCTTTCCTGGCCCTGAGACCTATCGACTGACCATCATCAACTCCGGAATGCCTGGTTTAGATTGGCATGCAACCTCTTCTGCAAGCAGCTAAGTGAGAAGATGTTCAGAGTGGGGGCAGCCATAAATCCTGCGATTAGTAGATCTGTTTGGAACGTCTCTGACTTCAGGCTGAACCACCGAAGTTCAAAAGTCAGGCTGAGCCGGACTCTGCCAACTTTTGTTTCCATAATCAACAAAGACTGACTTTGAGTGTTGCTAGAATTCTGAGCCGCACTCCCAGATTGTGGCTCTTTCTTCTCCCGTAAAGGTTTAGTTGTAATCAGTGAGTCCGCGATTCCCTTCACCACAGGCAGCGTTGGCATTCGACAACATCCCCAGTTGGAAGGCTGAAGACGATGCATTTTGGGCCCGCTTCTCAGTGCATTTTTCTCCAGTTTCGGTTTGCTTTGGGGCGTCTCCAAGGCTATGCTAGTCGTCACCTCTGCGATACCACCGAGCCCGATGATGGCCAAGGACTTCAGCCATCGCATCTCAAAAACTAGAATATGCAGATGCTACGGGTGCTGTGATTGAAGAAACCGTCAAAGGCAGCATCTCATTCTAAGTCACAGGGCTCTGTTCTCTGCGAAGAGGCAATCTACAACCCCGCTTCTTTGAAAAGAAGTCAGACGTTTCCCCAAATATTGTGGTCACACTAGGGCCACTAGGGGTCCTTACTGTAATAGTGATTTGCTCACATATGCACGCTCTCCTTTGTGTGCTCTCATCTCTGCGCTCTCACGTGTGTGCTGTAATATGTGTACTCTCAGGTGCGTGCGCCCAGGTGCTGGCTCATATATGTGCTCCAGTTTGTGCTCGCTCACACCCGTGCTCTCACGTGCGTGCTCTCAGATTTGCGGGCTTGCGTTTGTGTGCTCTCATGCGTTTTCTCTAGCAAACGCGCTCTTTTGAGCGTTCTCACATGTGCGCCCGTTTATGTGTGCTCTCACGTGTGTGTTGTCATATGTGTGTTCACTGATCCGCGTGCTCCTATTTGGGGTCTCATGCGTGCTATTGTACGTGCGCCATCATGTGCTTGCTTTCATGTGTGTGCTCCTGTTTTTGCTCAGCTCTCCTTGTGTGCTCTCACATGTGTATGTGTGTGTCACCTCCCGTCTACAGGGATTCTAATTTTCAGCAGCGGAGTGCGGCATGATTGTGGAACCACACTCGACCAAGCTACCACAATCATGGGATACCCAGTCTGATCAACTCGGCGTATCTGCAGCTTTTTGAGATACTGAAGTCTTTGATGGTTCTACGTAAAAGACAACGCTGTCTAGCAAAGTGCATTCGGCTAATGCAGTAATCAAAAGTGCTGCTCACCGCGAACTCCTGAAGCTCAGCTCCACCGAGCGCATATCTCAAGAGTCTAAGTCTAAGTAATGTTCAACACTGTCTCATACATTGTTTTGAAAATCAAGGGCTAACGCACACCGTGAACTCCTGAAAGTCTAAGTAATGTTCAACGCTGTCTCGCACGTTGTTTTGGAATAAAGGGCTGATGCACTCAGCTAAGTAACATAAAGGGCCAACGCGCACCCGAGATCCAACCTGAACTTCGGAATTCTCGCTCCACGGAGCACTATTCTCAAGTGTGTGTGTTTTTGTGTGTGCGCGTAGCTCTTGGAATCAGAGGGGGCCGTTGGTCTTTTGAAAAAGGTTCGTTGCAGGGGGGCAAGGGCCAGTCTTCCCACGTTGCCCAACGAAGCTACGGGAGACTGGTGGAAGCATTCAGGGACGGCGCTTGGATCCTAAGTCCATCAACGATTGGAAATATGCACTTGCCTGTGAGTTGAATTTTGTATGCAGTTTGTGCGTTGCCTGCAACTTCCTAGCGATGGCCTCCAACCTACATTTTTTGTTTTACTCAGGCTGTGATGTGCGTTCAAACTGCTGTCGTTTCTGTATGCAACCAACCTCCTAGCGATGCCCTCCAACCAGTTGCGATGACCTCCCACCTAGATGCGAGGGCCTCCAACTTAAGAGCAATGGCCTCCAACCTACTTTTCCTGTTTTACTCAAGAACTTCACCTAGGCAACCATGTGGCGTGAGGCATTCAGTTCAGCACGCACTATCTCGTGTGTGCTATCATTTGTGTGTTCTTACATACATGCTCCCATGTGCTTGCTCCGGAATGTATGCCTTCATGTGCCTGCTCACTCGTCCCCGTGCTCTCATATGCGTCTTCTCAGGTGTTTGCTCACGAATGTGCGCTCTCGAATATGCGACCAGTGTTTTGATGTGTGTGTGTGTGTCGTTTTCTTCGTGTGGTCTCCTATGTGTGGTTTCAGGCGCTTGCTCACATATGTGTGCTCTTATGTGTGTGCTCCCTTATGTGTGCACTCATGTGTGTGGTCTCATTTGTTTTTGCTAGTGCCGGTGAGCTCATATGTATGCTCTTATGTGTCTACTCACATATGTCTGGGTGATCTCATATGTGCGCGCTAGAATGCGGAAGTTGGCTTGTTCACCCTAGCCTTCCTGTACTGAGCACTGTTTGGGGTCTCTTGCCTGGATAACTTTATGCGTTCCCTGTTGTATTGCAAGAATTTTTGATTTGCAGGAACCTCTTCCAATCTATGACAAATTCATCCCATGGCTCATCGGGTGTCCCTTGGAGCTAGAGCCCTATGAATTGGTCCGAGCTGTGGGGCACGGACATGTTCCATGTGGTTGCATTTTTGGACAGGTCTTCTTGTTTTTTGTTTTGTACTGGTTGTTGTCAGCTTCATCACAAGGTTTCAACATACCAGACTCGTTCAAGGCACTACTTGGTCACAAATGTCTATGCTTTTGATGGCCAGGCGATTGTTGCTGGTTTGCACCTTGATCCTTTGCAACTCCAGCAGTGACAATTCCTACCTGCGATGATATTTGGCCTCCTTGGCCTCTTCTTTTGGACAATATATATAGTTTGTACAACTGTGCCTTCTAAATTAGACGTGGTAGAGACCAAATGCATCAGGCGCCTGAGCAGGAACAGTGTGAAGCTGGTCAGGCGAAAATGACAGTGAGTTGTAGACTTCAGAATGAGTGCAAATTGGACTCAAAGTGCAAGTTTACAACAACTTACATGGAATGGAATCGTCAAGCCCTTTTTTGGTATACTGTATATGGACCGGACGACAGCACTTAACCCCAACCATACACCCATGCAGCGCGAGGATCTTCGAACGCCCCAATATGGTGGCACTGGCGCGTAGGGGTCTCAGGTGTGTTCACAAACGGATCAAACCTCATATAGAATCGCATAGAACCTTCATCACATTGACCTTTTGAGGTGGCGTTGCATGACCTTTGCCTTGCGTTTTCTGCTAAGAGCGTGCAGCTTAAGAGCGATTGACAAACAGATTGTCGAGGCAAGACACTTGAGCGTTTCATGTCTTTGACGAGCTCTTGTGAAGTCAAGTAGTTTGTACCGAAGTGTTTACTCTAGACTGAGGATGCCGGCCTGCCGGTGGTGGGCGCAAAGTTCATGAAGTGGCACTTGCGGCGCTCCTTTTTGAAACTCGCCATCAAGGCAGAGAAAAATAGAAAGCAAAGTTGCTGTATATTGCAAGCCAAAAGGTTGTGTGTTTTGCATTGTCAAAAGCGTTTGCGGTTGCTCGCTTTGTGTTATCAAGTGCATAGGACCTTGCCTCCGCCAGCGCACTCTCCACTTCTGAGCGCACGATATTGAGGCCCCAGCAATGCAGAGTGAACGTTTGGTTTGTATTTTTGCATCGTTTTTGCACGATCGGCTATTTTCTTGCAATTGGTTACCGCATTTTTGCTCACCAAAATGTCCCACCACGACATTCTGGCTCAAGAGAGAGACAGTGACGATTCACTGCTCAAGATTTGTAAACTGCGATCCCACAGTGCCAAGTCCAGACATGGCTGCCTTGAATGAGGAGGCGGATCCGCTCAGCTCCGCACACGCCGGCTTCCACCCTCGAGGCCTTTCAGAGCTTGGATTTGGGAGCACAGCTTGGTGACCTGGCGGCCCGCATGCAGCTGGTGGATTTGAAGTTCGGCTCCCTGCGGCTGCCTGCGCCTTCTCCTACTGGTGCCTCTGGCCCAGGGTGGCCCCTGTCAAGACTCCGCCGGCTGATGTGCTGATGGACCAAGTCGCGGATCCGCCTGCGGATGCTTTGATGGCTTCAGCTGCCAGACAGTGAAGTCCAGAATGTAGGGAGCAACCTCCTGCGCAAGGTCAACCTGATTGACTTCAAGCAGGCCATGCGATGTCGCTGGCTTGAAGGCCAGGAGAAGGGCACCACCCTCGACTCCCTCAACAAAGCTTATAGGGCACGGTGGAAGAGGCCGACCCAGGATCCCGCTCTCATGACCAAATGGGCCCTGCAACCTATTGATACTTCCGTTTGGCTAGATGACCCGCGCCAGAAGCTGGAGCGCGGCTTGATGTGTGCCTCATGCCCTGAGCTGGCACGAGGTGCCACATCCCAAGGAGATGGTGGATCGCTACCTTTCGCTACCTTCCTCCCCAGCTGCTCACCGAGATGCCCGATCTGAAGGTGACTTCCCTGATGGAGAAGTCTGGCTCCTCCGCAATGGATGAGCTGGGCGAAGAGGTGCAGAAGCTTGCCAAGCTGCTGGCCGAGAAGTCCTCCACGTGCACTCCACTTCTGGGAACCCAAACGGACCGAGGCTATGCAGAGGTTGCAAGGCTTCAGGACATGACCTGAAAAGGTTCACGCCAAGGCCTCCACCTTTAAGTGGGGCGCAGGCGTGTGCGTGTACGATGTATAGCCTATTGCCCGTCGCAAACATAGCTGCCAGCTTGCGTGGATCCCGGGGTAGTGTAATGTGGTGTGGTGTAGTCTACGGCATTCTTGTATCATGGATGTACGTGTGACTATGCGTGTAATAAGTGTTCATGTAACGTTATGTATGTATGTATGTCTGTCTGTCTGTCTCTTTGTGTGTGTCAAGCCCTGTTTCTAAGGGTCCTCCGTTTTTTGGTTATATGTTCTCAAGCAGGGGGCGACAGGGTCCCTGCATAGCTGTCGCCAATGAGGCTCTATGCAGCTGACCAGGATGCAGGGACTGATCATCCCTGTGTACCTGCTTCAACTTTTGAGCAAGCTGTCCAATTTGATCGGTTTGTTTCCATGGTCCTTGAATGATATACCCCAAAACCCTTTTCCACCGCAGATGTGCAGCCGCGCTGATCGCTCGACGCAGCTGTTTTCGTGAATTGCAGGTGTACATAAACCTTGTGTTAAAACATCTTCAAATCTTTGGACCTTTCGCCTTGCCGTTCCATCGCCTTCCTTTCACCTGGGAACTGAGTTAACTGAAAACCAATGTCAGAGTGTAACCCTGGAATCGCAGGGAACCTTTGGGTTTGGAGCAGCATTTTCCGTCCACCGAAGAGGGTGCCAGTAGGTGCTGATGCAGTGGGGGACGCCCCACTGTGTACCTGCTCTGCTATTTATTTAGGAAAACAGGAGGAAATGGTACTCGACACACTTGTGTGTCGGTGCCTTTCCTTCTGTTTTCCTCTAGTCTACTCTATAGGTTTGCAGGTAGGCCCCCCTACCTTGTAACAAGGATCTTTAACCCGAACTTTGGCCCCTACCCACTAGATTGGCCCCCAACCTTGGCTGTCTTGTGTTTCTTGTAACCTGGTAGCACTGGCCTCCAACTTGGTACCGTGGCCTCCAACCCACTAGCAACGACCTCCAACTTGGCTGTCTTGTGTTTCTTGTGCTTCTTGTGTTTCTTGTGAGCTGGTAGCACTGGCCTCCAACTTGGTACCCTGGCCTCCAACCCACTAGCGACGACCTCCAACTTTGCTTCTTGCTGTCACTTTGTTTTGCTTTGGTTTGCTTGTGTCTACTACCTACCACCTACTAGCGACGGCCTCCAACCTTAGGAGTTGGGCCCCAACGGCCTTGCGAAGGCCTCCAACAAGAAAGCGATGGCCTGTATATAACCATCTACTTGTCATTTCTGTTGTGCTTGTGCCTATGGTCCACCACCTACTAGCGACAGCCTCAAACCTTAGGTCTTGACCCCCAATGGCCTTGCGCTGGCCTCTAACCAAAAAGCGATGGCCTTTAACCTACTAGTTGCTCTGGCGCCTCAGGCCTTTTTAAACTTAGGCTGGCGTGTGGCACCGCTTTCAGTTCAGTGCGCAAAATCATAAGTGTGTCTGGCTTAATGCCAGCCTGGGATGAGCCCGCAGAGTGCCTCCCGTTGACCCGTCGAACGGGGGTTTGTCTTTGTTTCCCTTGCTTTGGAAACGCACGTGCCCATAGCGGGCGGAGTAGGCTTATGCCAAAGTTGTTTGCCAAGACTTGATGAATTCTTGAATTCCAAGCTGGCTCATGCCTGTACGTGACCGCAGCGGTCTGAGCAGGGGTGGTTCAAGTGAAAACAAGAATGCAGTGACAGACGCTACACAGAGGACACGCATACAAGACAGAAAATCGGTTGGAAGCAAAGGCGGAAGACAAGGCCTTCGCGCCGGCAACGGACGACCAAAATCCTCCACCGGCAGGACGGCAAAGACCTGCAGAGTCTGAGTCTTCTACCACGTCACCAAATGGTGGTGGCCCAGGCCACACAACCAATCGCGGATTTGCCCACGCCTCACAAGCGTTGGCTCCTGACACTGCTACACAGGTCCTGTCTGTATGTCTGTCAGTCTGTCTGTCTGCCTGTCTGTGTCATGTTGCGTTGTGCTACGTTGTTTCGTGTTGTGTCACGTTGTGAATTTTGCAGGTGATATGCGGTATGTTTGGTATGGTTTGGTATTCTACGGTATGGAATGTATGCGTGCGTGTTCTGGCATGGTTCATCGTGGAACGCATGCATCGCACGCGTGCAGGTCTGATGGTTGACGACTTGCTTGATTTCATTCTTCAAAGAATTGGACAACCCAGTTTCACATTGTGAGGATTGCAGCGAAACAGTTTGCCCTGGGAGCTGTGAAGGTGCTCAATTTGAATGCGTTGCTGAGTCAGGGAGGGAGAGAGAGAGAGAGAGAGAGCGAGAGAGAGAGAGAGAGAGTGAGAGAGAGAGAGAGAGAAAAGAGAGAGAGAGAGAGAGAGAAAAGAAAGAAAGAGAGAGAGAGAGAGAGAGAAAGAAAAGAAAGAAAGAAAGAAAGAAAGAAAGAAAAAAACCAAAGAAAGAAAGAAAGGAAGGAAGGAAGGAAGGAAGGAATAAAGGAATAAAGAAAGACAGAAAGACAGACAGAAAAAATGAAACATGAAAGACAAAACAAAAAGTGAACGAAAAACACAAAAGAAAAACACAAAAATAACGAACACACAAAAAACAACGAACACAAAATAAAGAAAAACAACAAAAAGAAAACACAGAAAACACAAACGATCGAAATAAACAAACAAAAACACACATAAAACAATAAAGAAAACAATTAATACAACATACAAAAAACAGAAAACACAAGAACAAACACAAAAGAAAGCAAACAAACACACAACAAAATAACGAACAAAAAACACGGGAGAAACAAAAAGAACACCAAAAGCAGAGAGCGAGAGAGAGAGAGAGAAAACAAGAGGATACCTGATTTTTCCTTTTGCACTGAGAGTTGTTCAATGAATATGTTGTCCCTTAGTTCTTCTTTGCAACCCACTGCGTAGCCAAGTTTCCAGTCCTCGGCAATCAAACCTTGTTTTGTTCTAGGCTTGCCTTCCACTTTTCGGTATATATATATATATGTACATATATATATATAAGAAGCAGCTTCAGAAAACATCCTGTGGCTTCGGCAGAATGGTGAGGTGAGCAATCGGCTGGCCTACGATGCTCCAGATCTGGTTGGTGCAGCGGAAAGACTTTTGTGTGGGTTGACTCAGACAAACATTGCTGAACGGCTTGATTTGACACTTATACTTCAAATGGGCAACTTTGTTCTTTTGCTGTTGAGATGCTTTTAGCTACTCCACAACTCCTTGCCTTACCTTTTTGGTTCCCAGAATCCAGGTGATGCTCGAGCTGTTGTGTCGGAGTTGGAGGCTGCCGTGAATGCTGCCTACTTATATATCTGAACCTGAACAAAATTGTCAAGTTTTTGTCGCATTTAGAGCACGCTGAGGCCAAACCAGGTGCACATCATGTTTGGAACGATCCTTCCGCAGTGAACTTACTGAACAATTTCTAATTTGTTTCTTGCCACCTGGATGTAGAGTCATCAGGTTTTGCCAGTTCTGGATTTACAGAGTGGAGCAGAGGATGATTGGAACTTGACGCGAGTTTGATTTAACTTTAATGCATATGTATAGAGAGGATATTTGCGGGAGGAAAAGACATGAAGAGAGATCATGTCATGACTGAAGGAGCAGCAGCCAGAGGCCTGGGGGCTGCACCCTTTCTTTGAGCGGCTTTTGCGGACAGACGTCAGCCCTGGAGCTGCAACTGGAGTGCCTGGAACCTCAGCTAGGTCTTGGATGAGGTTCTCACCGCCTCACGAAAGGCCAAGACTATAGATCGCCTGGTTGCAGTCCCCCAACGTGGGAGTGAGTGATCCTGTGAAAACGGTTTATCATAGCGAGAGGCCCCAAGTTTCCCTAAGAATCTGGGAGCCAAATAATTAGCGCGAGCGCTTCTTCAAGGAAGCTCCCCCCAGCTGTCTAGGCCCAAAGCCTTTCAGCTGACGCCCGCTCGCGAGGGCCGTGGCTTCGCTGCTCGCTCCGCTGCGAGGGTGAAGCGTCCACAGACTGGACACTCCCCTGTGTCCAGATCGCTTTGGCCATGGCGGATTCCATGAGGAAAGATGGTCCACAAGCAGTTGATGCGTTAGTGCACTGGGCCACTCTGGGCTTGTCATCGACTTTGACTGAGTCGGTGCGTGCCTCGTTGATGACCATAGCTATGACTGGAGAGTGTAGAGAAATGGATACAGAATGAGTGTTCTTTGGAGAAGTCATGGTAGTACATGCTGGACCACCTTTCACTGTACGCCTACGACGGACTTCAATGCTGATGACCGACAAAGAGTCCTTCGGTGGTTCCTGGGCAGACCTGGACCTTGTTTGCCCTGTGGTTTACTCTCGAGTTGATTTCTCTCCTGGAATGTGCATTGGGATTCTTTGCAAGCCTGCGGACCGTCAGATTGCCGGGAAGATCATGGCAGGTGAGTTAGTGCCAGTATGGAACGTCTCCTACTTTGACAAGGACCTTGCTTGGAATGTCATGCACTTGTTCGCTGGGGCGTATGAGGGATGGCTCAGGGCTATGTGGTGGCTGCAGCAGGCCAATCTTGGCCACTCATTCGCAACTCACACGTCGATTGATGGGTGCCCTACAGTGATGAAGATGACCCTCTCTCCGCCGTGTCCAAGTTGGAGCAGAGGTGGGAAGCACTCTGGGTTGGCTACTGACGAAGGTTTCTGTTTTCTGGATGCGATTGAACATGTGAGTCGGGTCAGGCCAGTTCTTGCCCTGTTTGAATGTTCTGATGGACTTGAAGCACATCATCATTGGAGGGTTATCTCTGCCGCCATGCAGCTGGCGGGATACCGGAAAGTATGGTCGCAAGATGTGGCGATTCACCAACTCACATGCAATCATCGAACCAGATGGTTGGCGATTTGGGCCAGGATGGATGTCCCTGCATGCAGATTATTTGCTCTATCAACCGTCGTTTGAACTGGAATGATTCAAAGCATCTTCATGCGCTTCCAAGCTCCTTGGCAGAAGATTTAGTCCTGCAGCCCTCTCAAATGAAGGTGTACGGGGAGCGGAACCTGCTGCCTCCAGCCAAGAGGGCACGGGTTGACGAAGGTGCCTCCGTTCAACAGGTTCTTGAGCAAGGGCTCGCTCAGCGCGGTGACTACTTACCAACACTGTGTGCGTCCTACACGGCGCAACATCTTCTGCAGCGAGAGCATTTGGAGTCCAAGGGCATTTGTGCCACTTTGGTGCAGCGGAATGACAGGTAATGCTTTGTGGACCCACTCGTCTTTGTCTCCTTGTTTGGAACAACTGATTCGATTGCTCTACCAACAGTACTCAGGACTGCATTCCACCAAATTGGCAATGCCATCTCACAAAAACATGCGTTGGTTGCTTTGCTCTTTGCTGTTGAAAGTATTGCGGGTGACCCCGTCCAGAAGCTGGCACTGGTGCAACAGTGCTGGGAAGAACGTCTTACCTCAGACAAAGCAATGATCCGTGTTTGCGATGACATGTATGTTCTCCAGCCTCTCGCTGACTTTGTAGCCAAGGCCATTCCTAGCATTGCAACTTGGCAACCATGGTTGGTGGGTAGAAACTTGATCAGGTTCTGTGAGGATGCATTCCTCTCAACGTTTCGGATTCTCTGTGTGCTACGTCACAGCTGTTGTCGAGCCTGGACCTGACAGATCATCATGCTCACCTTCTCCAACTCAGTGTGGATGGTAGAACATTTCCAAGTGACGTGTCTTGGGATGACCTCCCAGATGGAGATATCTTGCTGAAGATTGGATCATTCAATCTTTGTACACTTCAAGTGATCCGCGCAGACATGCGAACCCATGAGGATGACCCTATTGTCTCCCCTACGCAGCCATGGAATTGTGAAGAGGTTGATCCTGAATTTGGCTACCTTCAGGATGCCCATCGAGCTGGATTTTTCCATGTCGCAGAATATGTGTGCCAGGATGAGGAGCCTCGACATACTGCTAAGGTCCTCCTTATTATTCAGCAGGATGGCACTTCGGAGTGGATCAGAAACGCGAACTTAGATCGTTTGGGGAGTATTCCGACCTTCCAACACCAGGACAACTCTATGCACTTCTTCAAGGTCAACAGAGATGCATGTCAAAGCCTCCTTGGCGTCAATGTGGTGACGGCCATACAGGGATCATATGACCCGTTCAACCCTAACAAGTGGATCCTCCTTGCTGGTGGTCAAGAACTGAGATGGTGCAAAGTATGTCAAGTTCCCAGGTCGGTGTCACGCCACGGCAGTGCAATGATTTGCCTGAACAGCAATGCCATGTCACCATGAGGAACCTGGTAGAGTGCAGAGATGATCAGCCTTTGATGCTCATCAATGGTGATGTTTTGTGGAGTGACACCAGGGTTCAAGATGTGGTGCCCATTGCCTTCGGTGGTATGGATCGCCTCTTGGGACACCCCAGCTGTAACATCCACAATGATGAGATCACTGCGCGACTACTCCAATTCAACCTGGAACCTGGTGCATTAGCTGTTGATGAAGTGACTTTCCATTTTGACATCTTGCAGGTGCTGATGCCTTCAATTTGTTGGTGCCCTCCGGGGCATTGGGCAAACAATGAATCGCAGTTTCGGCTCCCGGATGCGCCAGCTGATCTCCAGAGATGCTATCAGCACTTCGTAGTTCCGATTTTGGTGGTATTTGATTGGATCTTCGTTGAAGTCAGGTTCTTTGAGGGACAATGGAGGGTCCTTTACCACTCGCCAGAGCAATTGACCATTCGGCAAACAAATGCTGTCCTGGTCGCACCAAACGCCTATCGCTGGATCCGTACTGCAGAGGACAATGAACTTGCACCATGGCGCACCTTGCGCACCTTTTATGCAAGGGCAGGTGCTCCGTTGCTTCCGGAGTCACACAGAAGTACGCAGCGATTGCAAAGATCTCAATAATATACCTCACACGTGATGCAAGTAGTGGACCAAGCTGACTTGGTGTGGCGGGAGACCCAGGCAGGTGAGAGGATGGTACAATTTGCCCGTGCCTGTCGAAGTGCCTTTCTGATTGCAATCACGGAATCTCCTAGCAGAGCAGCCGACCTCCTCATCCGAGCAACAGGTCGACCACTGCCAGTGTACGATATACATGAGATCTTTTTTGTGGCTGATGAATGGCTGGAAATGAGGCTCAATATCTACCGCACCCACCCAGGGTGGGCAACGAGTGATGAGATCGAATTTGCCATGGCACTCTTCCTCCCAGATTCAGTTTGTCCACCAGTCCTGCGCCACGACCTTTCGTTAATTGCTGCAGGGATCAAGATTCCGTGTCATGATGTCCAGCGCTTTGTGGCACTACGAGAAGGACATTGGATTGGGATTGAAGTTGTCTGCAACGCTCAAGAACATACGCGCAGAGCGGTCTTCCTCATGCAGGTCCCACCCAGGGATCAGCAGTTCTGGCACGACTTTGCTATTGACCACATCATACCGTTTGGCTTCAGGCCTATTATCATCATTGACACCAACCGTACTAGGCCTGGTATGTGTGGATGGGAGCTTCTCCACAGATGGATTGTTGCTGACACTCGTCTCATGTGCCCAACCCTAAGAGGCACATCATTGATACCATCATTGAAGATTCGGAAATTGCATGGAGGCAAGCGGGAGCCCCGCCAATGCTGTGCACCTTTGCTGAACAAGTTCGACAGCTCTTTCTCCTTGGTGGGGTTCATCTCCGTCAGCCATGCTCCGCGGTCTCTCTTGGAGGCATGGAAGGGCAAGCAAGCAAAGATTCGCCAATGCAAGCAGCAGATCCATGGCAGTTCGATGATCCGTGGAAAAACTAGAAAAAGCAGGTCAAGCAGAGCAAGTGGGAGGACCTGCAACTGCAGGCAGATCACCCTTTCGTTTCTAAGGACAAAACGCCTCTACCATTTGTGCAGAAACAGCAACTTTCGACCAATCGAGGGGGAATTGCTTTCGTCTCGAAGGGCAATTTGCAACGAGCACGTGAAATCACCCCAGAGGAAGCATGTGCCTTGCTACTGCCGCTTATCGATCCCACTGGCTGGCCAAGTTGCCCAACCTTTCGGGACCGTTCGATTGTGTCTGATCATGCGCTGAATCAAGAATACAAGAGACAGGCCCACTTACTGGTTGTCACTCCAGAGGTCAACTTTGCTCTGCCAACACCTTCAATCACCTTGACTCTTGCTGCTGTTTGTGAGATTGTCCTGGTGGTGTGACGCTCGTCTCACCACCAAAGATGTTTTCCAGGCCTTCTACGACAACCCATTGGCAAAGTTCAAGGCTCAAGTGAAAGAAGATTGCTCCGATCCGATTTGGGGTCATGCTGCCATATACGGTTATCGTGCAGTTCAAGAGCAATCCAAGGAGAAGCGTGACCTTGTCCACCAATGCCTGTTGAAGGTACAGCAAAAGCATCGTGTTCCTTTGCTCTCTGCAAGTGGTCATGGGGATCTGGTCGTCCGAGATTTTGTTGCAAAAGGTGAGCAGGTCCAAGATGTCTCAACCATCCCACGATTTTGGCCGATTGACCGTGCCAACAAAGCGAATCTGATCAAAGCTGCCTCAACCATTGCAGGATATGGTGGCGTTGCCATCACCAAGCGTGGGCTTGCCCCGCGGTTTGCCACAGATCATGACCTACTCCTCCCACAGGATGACAGAATCTGTGCGATCAACAAGGCAATGGTGCCCAAAGTGAACATGGACAGTCTGGGTTGGCCTTCTGAG